GCGCCGCATCCCATCTGGTGCGTGTTGGCCCCGCACCGCGAGAACGTGTAGGAAAAGCAGGCGGGCCCAGCTGCCCTGGGAAGGCGAGCCAGGACCTTCCTGGTTCCAGCACGGAGAGGGACTCAGCTGCAGAATGGGTCCAATGGGGAGAGCTCAGCCGGAGTGCCTCTGAGCATGTGCAAACAGCAGTTCAGGGTACCGGCTGCTCCTGTGCCCAGACACTGGAGTCTGTGGGGAGGACCCCCAAGCAGAAAGGAGGTGTGGGGGCAGGCCATCTTCCCAAAAAACAGACCCACTGCATTGAGCATCGTCCCACACCCCTGGCATGAGGTTTCCTGGTACGGAAATGTCTCTGCGCCAAGCAGAGCACCCACATATCACCGGCAGATGAATAGAGTGTCCAGGCAGCCGCCACAAATCAAACAGGAGGGAATGGAAGAAAACCACATGGCTGAGCAGGCTTCAGTCTCGTTCTGCAAATGGGCCTTCCGAACCAGACCGAATCCGGCCTTCCCACCCTTGGCATCAGGGAATGGGAGACGCTCCTCTGTGCATGTCATTTTGTGGGCAAGGCAGCCCTGATGAGGAAAAACGGGGGGGGGCGGGCACTGAGGAAGCACGACCTGCTCCCCCCCCCCCGAATCAAGACCCCCCTCGCCACCCTTGGCAGGCAGTCATTGGGAGGGGAAATTCAGCTGCTTTTTGGTGCATGTTGGCAGCCCATGAATTAGTAAAGACGCATTTCGGCCTCTTCCGTTGCAGAGTCGCTCCTTATTAGGGGAGAAAGCAAACAACTTAGAAGGGGGAAATGGGACTCGGGAAGCGGCTCTCTCTCCTTACCCGCCCCCGCCCCCCCCCACTCTATCCCTGCCCCACTTTTGCACTGCATGGAGGAACCTTAGCATCTTTTAATGCACTCTCCGTTTTGGCTCCTGGGGGATGGAGCATGAAGAGGCAGTCACAGATTCTTTCTGACGGGTGGGAAACCGAGGCATTCAAGGACCCAATGCTATCCTCTCTGAGAGTGTAGCTGGTTTCCCCCTACAGGCAAAGCAGACCCTGTACCGTGTCTCTATGCCTTGGACAGCTGTACCGGTTGAATTTCTGCCTGTCAAGTTGTAGGGCTCCAGGGCCCTGTCACGAAAGAGCAAAAACGGATAGAAGCATAAGCAGGAGCTGAAGCTTGATCTGAAATGCACCCTCTCCTCTGGTGGGCAGTAGCTTGGGGTTACACAAGGGAAAGACAAAAGCACTCTGTAGATGTACAGGAACACTCTTTTACATGGCCATTTCCTAGCCTGGATGAGAGAAATGCATGCCCAGGGGATCTGAAACGATACAAAACTGGCACAAGACTTGGGTCGGGACCGGGCTAAGTTAGCCAGACTAGGTTCCCAATGAAGTCAGAGGTTGGTTTGTCCCATTGACTTCAATATTTGTCCATTGCGGTCAGCACCCGAGACGTACCTGCGCTGGCTTCCCCGGGGCGGGGGGGCGTGGGGTCAGTGAGGTCCAGCGGCTGCTAACACAGTTGTGTGTTTGATGCCAGGTTTTTACTCTCACGTATGTGGCAGAACACAAGGAGACTTGTGTTCTTGCTTATTCTGCAGTTCTTGCTGCTTCTATTGGGCCCTGCCAAACCATTGTTCAAACCATTGTTTTAACTGTTTCATACTTTTTAAAATATGGTATGTTAAGATGTTGCGTTCTGTTTTTCCATATTCGTATTGGGCATGCAAATTTTGCATTATTCTGTGCTGACTTTTTCTGTCTAAACTTGGATGGCGCCTCAGTGTTTCTTGAGTTAGGCCACTGGGTTCCCCCACTCCCCCGTGGAAAGACTCGGAAGCCGAGGTGCTCAACCTGAGCCCCGTGGGCCAAATGCAGCCCCCCTTCCCAGGCTCCAGCCCCCCCACCCCAATTGCCAATCTTTTGCTGGTTTCCCTGCTTTGCATGTTTCCCCCTATTCTGAAAGGCCAAAAGAGGTCCTCCTGGCACCGTCGTTACTGGTTTTTCGGCGCCAGGTAAAGACCTTTTTATTTAAACATCATTTTAATTGTTAAAATATATGATCTGGCCAGGGCAACTTCTTCTTCCTTCTCTCTTCTCCTCCTATATTCTTTATTTACTTATTTTATACTGTTAATTTTAATTTTATATTATTATGTTTGTATCTCAGTGTATTTTTTTGTATTTTTGTATTTAGTGGTAATTTATTATGTTCTATTGTATTTCAATGTATTTTATTGTGTTGTAAGCCACCCCGAGGCTTCAGCAAGGGGCGGCATAGAAATGTAATAATAATAATAATAATAATAATAATAATAATAATAATCCTTCATGCAAGTAAGAGCTTTAAGCTTAAGATTGGCTGATATTTTCTCTTGCCTGCTCTGTTTGCTTTGTCCCCCGAGACCCTCTCTCCATCCAGGCCTCCAATTGAAACAGGTTTGGCAATCCTGCCAAGCAGGGCAGTGCGGTGTAGTGGTTATCGTGTCAGGCTGATACTCCGGAGATCTGGGTTCTAATCCCCACTTGGCCCCAAAGCTCCTTGGGTGACTTTGGGCCAGTTATAGCCGCTCCGCCTTGCCCACCTCGCAGGGTTCTTGTGTGGACAGTACAGAGAAGAGGATGATGTGAGCGGCATGGGTTCCTTGCTGGAGGAAAGAGACGGAATATGAAAGTATCAGTAAGAATAACAGCCATGTAGAGGAGACTGGCAACTATTACTCCTGATGAGTTAATCCAGAGCAATTTACCACCTGGGAGGCTTATATAGAGAGAGGACCAGAGAGGTCCGCCTCGCACCGTCATTATTTGTTTCTTGGCGCCAGGCTAAGGCCTTTTTATTTAAAAAATATTTTAATAACATTTAATATCTATAGGTTTCAATTGTGCAGCCAGGTGTTTCCAGATTTTAATTGTATTTTGTACCATGTTTATTTATTTATGGGAGCCGTCCCGAGGCTCTAGCAAGAGGACGGCATACAACAACTCTAAATTAAATAAATAAATATATTTATTGTGTTGCTATCCCACCCTCTTTTCCTTCCAAGGAATGTCGCTTTCCTCACTGATGGTCCCCGAAATGGAAGTGCTACCTGCAAGGTCCCCCGGCCTGTGAGGCTTTCCTCCGCCACTGGGGTCCCAATCCAGGGGTGCAGGTCTCTGCAGACAGGCGGGCAGGGAAGTTTTGGGTTTCTCGCCCAGGGTCCATTTGGGCAAGCAGGCTGCTGATTCAGGAACCAAAGGGAACATATTGCATCCAGGTAGGACTCCTCGTGAGACATTTAGGCTGGGCCCACGCGGGATTCTGCTCCGGCCCCATCTCTCTCTTTGCCCTGGACCCACAGTTCTTCCCCTGGTCAATTATATTTTGGCTTCCTGGCTTTGGTAAACATTCCCCCCTGCTCTAAAAGGCCGAAATGGTTCGTGCGAGGTTTTCCCACCGGCAGGGAGAACGTTAAGCTGGTATATTTTTGTGGGGTTTTGTAGTGTGGCTCACCCTTTTGCTTTTGGGATGTGGCCTGCAAGTGATTCTCCGAGTTAGAAAATAGCCCCTGGGGCAAAAGAGGTTCGGCACCCCCACCAATGTCAGAAATGGGGTTTTGTCAACATTTGCTGGTGCATAATGACAATCTCTTTCTTGGCAAATGTCAACATTCGCTGGCGCGAAGGCAGAAATGAGTTTCCGTATTCTCCGTTTTCAGACACGCAGAGAGATAACAGATAACAGATTAAAGAAATAACAGCCAGACAGAAGAAAGAGTGCGTGCCCAGAACAAGATCTGTTCAAGAGAGCTGGTTTATTAAAGGAGATGGGAGTCGACCGTGACTGTGAGGGTGGGGTGAAGGTCTGTGGGGGGGCGAGATGGGGAACAGCTGGGAACATCTGGATGGAGTGCAGTTCCTTCCAGCTGCCGTCCTGAGTTGGGGGTGAAGGCCAGAGGCGAAGTCTCTCTCTCTCTCTCTCTCTCTCTCTCTTGCTTTTCCTCTCTTCCCCACCGGAAGAGGCAGAGTGGTGTGGGTTTTCCTAAAGGACCACATGGGCTGGAAGACAGGGGTGTGGGGAAGGAGAACCAGGCACCTGGGCAAAGGGGGGGGGGGGGTAAGGGGAGGAAAGAGGGCCGAGAGGGAGCGTTTCGGCCAAGTGTTGGGCTGGTGGAGCTGTGCCAAAGAGGAGCCCCTTCTACGCACAGCCCCCCTCGTGCTGGCTCCAGGTTTTGGGGGAGGGGGGCATCCAATATCGTGGGGCCCCTCTGCCATGGGGCGTTCTCCCACCTTGCTCCTGGCGCAAGCCTTGTCCTGGGGCATCGTGGGAAAGTGTGCCCCCCCGGCCCCGCTGCCACCACCTGTTCCCCACTCACTCCCCCAGAGGGCCCCAAGCGACACGTCCAGCGGGGGCTTTGTGGGGGGACATTTCCCTGCAGGACCCTGCTGGAGCGTGGCGACGGCGGGCCCCCTCAGGCACCAGACGTCCCCTCGCACAGCGCTGGCCTCACCTGCTCTGGCCATCCAGCGCCTCTTGCAGGTCCTTCCCCTTCCCCTTCCCTCCACCCCCAGCCCTTCCATCCCTCACCGCTCCATGCTTGCAACTCACCTCTTCCCCCAGCGGGGTTGGGTGTCCCTTTCCAACGGGCAGCCCACCTGGGCCGCGACTGCCACCCCCGAAGACCCTCCCCACAGCTGAGATCTCCGCCCTCGTTCTCCTCCCCACCCCTCCCACAACAACCCTGCGAGGCGGGCTCAGCTGAGCGAGCGAGCGAGCGCACAGAGCCCTCCAAGAAGCCCCAAGCGGAGGGAAGATCTGAGCGCAGCACCCCGCCGCTGAAGCCCGAGCACCAGTCCCCTCCTCGGCCCGGTCCCATCGGCCCTTCGTCCAAGCGTCCGTCTCCATGTAACTGCCAGCTCCTTTCCTTTCCTGCCCGTCTCCCCACCTGCCTGAAACTCACATTAAGGTGCTGACCAGACCACGTCCGCGGGGAAAGGTGTGTGCGGGGTCACTGGGGAAGTGGGGAGCTGGTCCTCTGTGTCACCGGGGCGATCCCTTTGCTGCCGTAGTACTCCACCACCTGCTTGGGCACCTCGGCCAAGACGCACTTGGCGAGGGCGTTCGGGGGCGCCTGGAAGAGAAAGACGGGGCGTCTGTGCCTTGCCCTGCCGGCCGTGCTGGCAGCGGAAGGGGAAGGACCGCTCTGGAGAGAGCTTGAGGGATGGGAGAAAGCAGCAGAGAAGGCGAGCAGGAGGCAGGAGGGCCGGCTCTGTCTCCTGGGTGTTTGCTTGGTGGCTTTTGACAGATCACAGGCTCCTCGGTCTAGAGCACCCCCTGCCCCCCATGGTGCAGGCTAAAAGAAAGCGTTTTGTGCTGCTCCCAGGAGATGGGCTCCAGGCGCTTGCCATGGGAAGGCATCGTGCAGTGATGCCATCTCTCTTCTCCCTCAAACGGATTCCCTCTGGAATAAACGGGTCAAGTCGGCAGAAGTTGCGGGAAGACACGGGGTACAAGCAGACAGCAGCGATGCCTGGGCCCTCGGTAATATTCTGTACACGGGGGAGCAGTGCCGGAACGGGCCCCTTGAGCGGAGGGCTGGGCAGAGAAGGGGAGGGAGGTGGGCGTGTGGGACCCCCAGCCCTCTGGGGGCAGCCCTTGGGTGCCCAAGAGCTGGGGCGTTCATTAAGATCTGCTGTCCCTCAAAGCGCCCCCCCCCAAATCAATGCAAATGAATGAGCAGATAAAGCCCTCCGTGGTCCCACTTTCCACAGGGTGCTGGAATTTCTTAATGTTCGTCAGAGTGGGAATGCACAGGAAGAAGGCCAGAGACGGGGACAGGAATGAAGACACAAATCCGTAGGGAAGCCACAGGGAACGGGAAAGGGAAGTGGAGAATGAAGGGTACAGCCAATCCCATCTGATCCTCTCCTGATCTGTTGAGCTCCCAGAATCCTCAGCTCAGCACTGCTCCCAGGATCCCGCAGCTATGCAGGCTGGGGGATTCTGGGGGTTGTAGCTCTACACATCTGAAAGGCACTGAGTTGGGAACAGATTAGGCGAGTGAGGAGATGGAGCGAACCGGACAGGTGAGGAGATGGGGAGCCCCGCTGAGCAGCGATTCACGTCCGGTGGCTTCAAGGTCTTGAATGCCTCCTGCCCTCTTGGGGGGGGGGGGCGTGGGGGGCGCTTACCTTCTTGAATTCCCGGACAGGCACGAACTGGACGATGTCACGGACGGCCCGGCCCTCCTCGGACTCCAGCATCCCACGGTCGCCGTTCAGCTCCCGCATGTCGGAGAAGTCGGCGTTTCCGATGCCCACGATGATGATGGAAAGGGGCAGGCGCGAGGCCCGGACCACCGCGTCACATGCCTCCGGCATGTCGCTCACCACGCCATCCGTGAGGACCAGCAGCACACGGTACTTCTGTGGGGGCGGGAGAGACAGGGGGGCTAGGAGCAAGGGGGCGCTGAAGAGCTGTGGGGCACAGATCTGCCCTTGATGATGTTTATCCATGTCTGCAGATATGACTACTGGGATTTACTTAAATTTCACAGGAGAAAAGTCAGCCAGTTAATCTCTCATCCAGATTAGCTCCAAATGGATTCTTAAATTCATCTGCGCCCCTGTCATGCTAAATTAATGGATTTTTTCTCAATTTCACAGCATTGCAGGAGAGATTTTGGGGGGGGGGTGAGGAGATTTGCAGCATGAGGAAAGTGCTCCCTTCCTTCCCCAGATACAATCTCCCCCGAAAACTGACAGCTGTGTGGCCCTTCGGCTGAGAGAAAGCCCTTCCGTTGGTACTCAGGACTCAAGGAACAACTTTGGGCCCCCGAGAAAGACACTCAGGGCTCGGACTCCACTTGAGGTCCAGACCAAGAGCACCAAGTCTCTCTCCCCCCACCCCAGAGAACGATCTGGGGCAGACACCCCACCTCTCCCCCCCCAGGTGCCCCCAGCGTGCCTCGCCTTACCGTGGGCAACCCCGTTTTCTCCTCCTCTGCCGCGGGAGCAGCCACCTTGTTGATGATGGGCGCCACGTTGGTGGGGCCGTACAGCTGGATCTGGGGCAGACAGCGCTTGTAGGCCTCGATCACCCCGGAGATCCCTGCCGGGGGAGGAAACAGGCGGTCGTCCCTGGCCCGCATTCGGGGGGTACAGAGGGGCAGGGCCGCTCAGCTTCACTCGGCTGGGCTCTCCCAACCTGCCCCCCCCCCGGGCTCGGGTCAAGTTGCAGGCGTGGGCACACGTGCTTCTTCCAGCTGCTGTCGGCACAAGCCCCCCCCCCCCCCCCACCCCCCCCCCCCCCCCCCCGAGCTTTTACAGGCTGCAAAGCCAGCCCGGTGTTTTTCCATTTTTCAGTTCGGAGATGCACAGGACTCAAAGCAAGCTTCCCCAACCCAGCTCCATCCAGAAGCATGAACTACAGCTTTCATAGCCCCCAGACCTGTGGCAGGGTGATGGGATATGTAGTCTCAGCCCCTCTGGAGGGCACCTGACTAGGGAGGGCTACAGGAGAGGATGGGGGTCCCCATCAGCCCGACCGCCTGGGTGCCCTTCCCAGACAGGTGGCTCGTGACTCGAACAATGGCAGGAAGAGCTGTTTCGGGGGGGGGGGGGGGGGGGGTTAATTCAGGCTCTTTCTGCCCGAGGGCCGGTTTATATTCTGGAGAAGCAAAGGCGGACTGGACCAAAGGAGAAAATAGCAATGCCCAAAATTCCAGCAGACGGGGGCTGGATTTCTCCCTGGGGGGCAGGTTGCCCCCCCCCACTTTCCTGCACTGCTCTTGTGGACACCTGCACTGTTTGCCCAGGTATCTGTTTATTGCCGAAGGGCTCCGAATCTCCCGCTCTCGTTTCCCCTCCCTCCTGTGCTCCATCATCCCCAACCCTCTGCAACAGCCGCAGTTTTCAGCGTTGGCATCTGTGTCAGGAAGGGGCTGATTTGCACATCAAAGGACTCCTACTTTCGCACTCCGGGTTCTCTGGCTCGAAGTTGATGGCGAAATCGTGGGACACCTGTCCGGGACAAGAGGAGAGGGGCCCTGGATGAGGACAGGGCAAAGGAGAGGAGTCAGCGCCCAGCCTTGTGGGTCCCCAGAATCCCCCCCGGGCTTGCCTCGAAGTCTGGAGGAATCCGTGCGCCAAAGCCGAAGGCGGGGAACCGCTTGTCGCTGGAAGAGAGGAATCTAGGTCACTGCGCTGAACGGCTCGCTCGCTCGCTCGCTCAATCCCACCCGTGTGTGGTGGGCAGAGCGAGGGAGCGTTACCTGTCCGCTCACCTGTCGTAGTCCTGGCAGATTTCGCCCACGGAGGAGAGGGCCTTCAGGTACTCGTTGGGCTCCTTGGGGTTGATGAAGTGCAGGGAGTGCTCGCTCCGAGGGTCCCCGTTGGAGGCTGTAAAGTCGATGGCCACCTGCGCGCAAGCAGAGGGAGTCTAACTGGGACCCCCCCCATCATGAGGCCCTACCTTGCAGGGTTGTTGCGAGGCTGAAACGGGGGAGGGCAACCAAGGGCCATGTAGGTCACCGCCCTGACCTTTGCAGAGGAACAGCAGGATAACCGTGTCCTTCAGATGTGTTGGACTACAACTCCCACAGGCTGGCTGAGGATAATGGGAGCTGTTGTCCATTATACCACAGACTGTGATCCAACCGATAAATACCCAAGTGCCCCTTTGCTCCCTGCCTCATTCACACTGCGCGCCCTTTGATTAATACTTGATATACCCCCCGCCCGGCTCCCTTTCCTGGTGGCTTCTGCCAATTTATTTATTTTTCCTTACTGTAAAGGAGATTTGTAAGCCACCCATGATGTAATCCAGGAAGGTGTGGACTTTCTCCACCTGCAGGGAAGCAGAAAAGGAAACGTTAGCCACCTTCCGATTCTTTTGCCCCAAATGTCTGAAATATCACACCAATGAAGTCATCGTGGTCTGTCACACACAGATCGGATGCCCTCCAGGTGCGTTGGACTACAAATCCCAGCATCCTGCAGTAAGCCTAGCGGGAGAGTCCGGCAAGTGACTGGAGGCCCAGAGTGGTCCCAATCCCTGCACAGTGACCTCTTGTTGAAAAGCTTCAACCCTCTAGAATAAGGTGCTACAACCTGTCTATAATTTTTGGGTTATTTTTGGCCCATTTTGCAGAGATCCGCTGAACCCAGCAGGGATTTGCCTAGTCTTCGCTCACCTGAGCCGTGTTTATTTCAATCAAGCTTCTCTATTCTTGGTTCTAACCCATGCTGGGCACTTTACCAGGATTAAGCTGAACTCGACGCCAGTTCGAGTTCAAGGGGAAGTGCAGGTAGCTCTGAGCTGAAAATTGCCCTCAGACAGTTAAAAAGCCCCACAATTCATGCTCTTCAGGAGCTTTCAACTCCAAACTGGAGCGCTTTATCCACCTGCCACAGGGGTTTTGAAAACCTGGCGCATCTGGGTCCTCAGGCCAGGTATCCCCAACATGACCACCTTACCCACCTTCTTCTAGCTCCACCCTCTTTCCCTCACCTGCCAAGAATGTTGTAGTTTCATCCCTTTCCCACAGGATCTTCCCGCAGTCAAAAAGTTTGAAATGCTTCTGCTAAGGCATCAGTTACAAAGCTAAAACACGTAGGGACTTTTTATCTTTTGGCCCTCGCAGGGTTTTTTTTTATCCTTTGGCCCTGCTCACCACCACATTAGCCCCCGCAAAATTTCTTTGCAATGGAATTCAGCCCGGGGCTACCATGCCATGCAACTTCCATGGCCAGCCATCCTGCCTTCCTCCCTTCAATCCACAGATGCAGCACCTCATTTCTCTCCATCATGGTCCCGTCTTCCTTCCACCCATGTTATCCTCCTGACCGCAACACCCCGCTAGCTGGAGCGATCGTCCATCAGCTCACAGCCGAACCCGTTCTTTGCAGCTTGTCATCATACATATTTAAGCGGCAAAATCTTTAGGTCACCAGGACTGAAACTGCTGATCTGCAATGGGTGACTTTTTTGGTCAGGCGGAACACAGAGAGAGGTTGTGTAACTAAGGGCACAATCCTGCACCTATTTAAACAGAACGAAAACATGCTGGCAGTTCTCAGGTTTTTTTCTTTCTTTCTGTCTAAACAGGATTAAGCCTCGAAGGGTTTAAGCTACAAATGTGAAGACTCAGAAAAAGATCAGAAAAATTGGAAGTGTGAGGAGGGTGTTTTTGCATTTTTTCCTGGGCCTTCACATCTATAATTCAGCCCCTGAGGACCAAGTCATCACTGAAGCCATTTTAAACCTCAAAGGCAATTTGATTTCGCCAATGGGTATTTGTTCTTAAGGCTCAGCGTTAGCCAGACTGGACTGCACATAAGATTTAATGACCTCTAAGAAGCCCACCTTGCACTGTGTGAGAACAATGTACCCAGAATTCTTGTAATGCTTCTTCTTTTCTTGGTATTTATGATTAATACATTCCCATTTCACCTACAGAGGGGGAAAAAAAGCAGTAACAATGGACTGGTGTTGTATTGCGTTCCCTGCCACAATATTGTGAGACTCTGAAAAGCACATGGCCAGATCGCTCCAAAGATCCAACATCTCGTTTGACATACAAATGAACAAAGAAAAGCACATTCCCACTGTGCTTTTATCTGTCCTGAATTTTATCTGTCCATTCAGTTTTGCTGGGCACCCTTGAATTCCACTCAGCCTTTTCCAACCTGATGCCTTCCAGGTGTGTTGGATTACGGCGTGTTGGACGACAAGCTGTGCTCCGAGACAACTGAATGGCAGCAGCGTGGAGAACAGTTTTCTAATATTACGAAGTGGGGTGGGGGCATGAAACTTGCCAACGTTTCTCCCTGTTTTCTGCCTCTGTGCGTTGTTTTCATAAACCTCCATCAGGATTCCATTTGGAGACCTTCTCCTCTGCACAACATCCAAGTTTTCAAGTGAGCAGAGGAATGTGCTTGTGGGGAGACGCACAAACTGCGTGGAACCCAGGAGTCCCGAGCTTGCGTTGGTGCAGTTAAGACGACGTTCTCCTCTCTCTCTCCAGAGAGGGGAAAATGGGTTTGATGTTCTGCAGCAGGGCACCGGCTGTGCTCAGGACTGACTAGACAGTGTCTGCACCGTGTCACAAAAAATCCCTCCCCTCATCGTCAGAGCAATTTAAAAAGTTCCATGTATTTTTAAATTGTTCTTATTACTGCCAATTCATTATTCAGTATGCAAGAGAGAAAAATCTTCCTTCGGTAACCTAAGAATGAATTTGCATTAAAAAATAAAGCTGGACATAATATAAGGATGGAAAAGATGTCAAGGGATACACCTACCATATTTGTTAACATAGAGAAAATTGAGTTTCTCGCTGAGATACATTAAAATCTTTGTTACAAAGATCCGTAAAGTGTTTCCACTTTTCTTTCAAGATTTGTTTGTTTTCTTTTGTCCTGGTTGCATTAGTTAATTTCAAGATCACTGCGGAATCCCTCTCACTTTCTGAAGCTTTTTAAATAATACTTTTATATCCCCAGTGCTAGGTGGAAAATGTTGGAAGTTGTAAAACTTTTTTTTCTTTTTGTTTAAACATGAGTAGAATTGCACTTTTAAGTTTTGCTGCAGCATACAGGAAATTTTGGTCTGAACAGATATAGGTTTGTCCCTTTAATATACAAAAATCCCTAAGTGGCTCACATTAAATATACAAGATAACAAGCTAAAATAATACATAATTTAAATACACTGCAGCATAATACCAGTACAGCAAGGGAAGGCATAATATATTACAGGTCAAGGAAACAAATACATGATCAGGAGGCATTTAAAATCTGCCACCGTTTCCGTCTCTCGGGCTGCACGTGGCAGACTGTTCCAAATTTCTCCTGAATAAAGCAAAAATGAAAAATGCATGAAGTGCATTTGGCACTCTTCCAAGTTAAAAACTAAAGGAAAAGGCAAACAGACCTCTAGAAATGCTATTTATGCTTGTGGTTACAGTGCCAGTCGTTGGCACTGAACCACTCCAGTTTGGTGTCATGGTTGGACTGGGAGATGGGGATTCAAGCCCCCGTTCGGCCTTGAAGCTCACTGGGTGCTCTCGGCCTAGCCTACCTCACAGGGTTGTTGTGAGGAACCCATGGGGAAAGGAGGACAATGCACACTGCTTTGCAAGACAAAAGAGGCAGGGTATATCTGCGAGGGCCTCTTTTACCCCTCCATTCCTCTCGCCCCCTTTGCCTCGCATCTTTCGGCTAAACTACCTCCTCTCCTGTGGAAGCCGGCAGCATCTGCTGGAAGCTGGTGCTGAACTCGCCGATGTAGTCATGCTTCCCGCTGGAGTCGTGATCATAAATGATGCACTGGAAGGAGAAAGCAGGAATTCAATAGGGCTGAGAGACAGACATTCAGCACAGAGGTATTTCCGCTCCCCGGACGTTGTCTGGTTCCTTCACAAACAAAGCTACACCCTTGTTGCATGTGCTCCCGACACGAGAGAGAGGCCGGCTGGGTTCAGACAAGCCAGGGCTTGGTAACCATGAACAACCCAGGAAGACAACCCATGGTTTGCTGCTGGGTGGCGAACGGTGGGTTGCTGACTGCAGTTTCTATTTTGGCTGGTTCAGTTTCTGCAGCAAGCCATGCTTCAGTGGCTCAACCTGGGTTATTGTGCTGTTTGAACCCTGGCAAAGCGTGGGTTGAGTGCCTTGGCTTCCCCAGAGTGAGGTTTGCTCCAGTTTCTTGCGGCTCTGACCGAGGGAAGACAAGACTTCCACCTGGCCTTTTTTAAAAATAGCAGAAGGTTATTTGTACAGATGGTCCTAGATAAAGGGGCATCCGGGGAAACCTTCAATAGATGGGGGCCATAAGGACTGAAGCCACCTTCCATTTAAGGCCCCATCCAAGTCCCGTTTAAAGATAAACAAGTTATCGGACTGTTCCACATCCGCAGCGCTTCAGACCGTATGGGGGGACTCACAGGTCACAGCCTTCCACACCTGGCCGAGCTGTCTCGTACTTCTATTTCAGCTGAATCAGCATTTGTGTATTGCATCCAGACGTGTAAACAAGCATGTGCAATTTTATGTACCGATGTGCCCTTTTCTTGCAGATTTGCAAGTGTCCATTCCAGGAGGACCCTGTTCCACACACGCCACACTCTGGGGTGCGGGGGGGTGTAAAGCTTTTCGTGCCCCCACACTCTGCACGCTGAATGAGTTGGCCATGCAGCTTGGCCTCCTACCACGGAGAATCCCACCAACCTGGGGATGCAAGGCCCAAACCAATTCACCTGGGGCCCCAGCTGGCTCTCCACCCCCAGACCTCCCCAACCCCTCGCAAAGCCCCCAAAGCTTGCCCTGCTGGGCACATGCTCACCCGGATGGCTTTCTCAGGGTCACAACTACACAGAGACTGCAAGGAGACACGGAACGGTGCCCACCGGGGACTCAAGTTATTCTTCACCACCTGGTACAAGAGGGGAAGGAAACAGCAGCAGGGAAACTGAGGTACTCATCCCAAATATGTTCTCCCTGAGTGTCACAACTGCTTCTTTTATCCACCTCCCTGACTAGTCTCCTGGCCTCTTTGGCCGTGGCACCAAAACATTGGAAACCCTTCCCTGTCACGATCAGAGAACGTGCTTTTGCTGATTTAAAAATGCACAGGCCACCATTTCCCCCTTTCTGTTCTATGAATTGTTCATCGTGGGCAGATTGAATTATGGGGACATAGGTCCTGATAAAAGTGGGGAGCAGACCGAAATAATATGAGTAGTAAGCTTACTTGCCTCCTAAATAAATCAGCTCCCACAGCTAAGCAAAATACGGAATTAAGACTCCCTTCTCTGCAGATCATGCAGGAAAAAGAGAAGCTCCTGTTCGAAGTTCGCTTCTTTTGCAACAATCTGATATGAGCCGCTTTATCAGCCAGTTCAAAGCAGGAACATTCGGGGATTTTTTTTCAGATGGAGGCCTCAGAATTTGAGCATCTTTTTCTGCTTCTCGGTACCTTGCCTTCCTTCGATTTATTTCCATCGGGGCCCTTCAAACCCACACCAACAGTCCTCCCCAATCCAGCCCTTCCTTAGCCGCCGTCCTCACCTCCGTCCGCCAAACCAGACTCTCAGTTTCATTGTTGTTGACCTTGTATATCTCCAGGAACGGGTCGGATTTGCTGAAGAAATCCTACACAGAGCAAGAAGCGGTCCAAACATCAGAATGCTTTTCAAAGGGGGGAATCAGCAAACATGCCAAGCTCTCTTCCCCGAAACCAAGCCCTTGCCCTCAATAAAATACAAAAATAACAATATAAAATTAAAATTAACAATATAAAATAAAAAAAATATAAAATATAAAAGAAGTCGCCCTGGCCAGATTGGACAGGAAAAAGTCCGGTACCCCTGCTATATGAGAAGATGGGGCCAGAAACCCCTGAAGCACCCCGAAATGACCCCCCACCAGCCCACCCCACACATGCCCTCACTTTGCCCCCCTCTGCTCAGGCTGCAGTCCGGCCTCCCAACTAACAGGTGAGCAGGACTGGGCATCCCAGGTGATCTGAGGTGATCGGATGCTGGAGAGGTGCCTGAGTCTTGAGCAGTGACTCTTTGAAAATGCTGCACTAAATCCAGATTTAGCAGGCAATCCTGTGCAGGATTGGGCAGGAAAAAGCCCTGCAATAGCGGGAGCTGAAGGGTCTTCTATTGGCTAAACAGGCATGGGACACGCTTCAAGCCAGCTCATTGCAATCGATAGGACTTGCATCAGCCAGGCCTAACCAAGAAGTCACTAACGCGTTGGTAACTTCCCGATCAGATTTCTGCAACGCGCTCTATGTGGGGCTACCCTTGAAGACGGTCCGGATACTTCAATTGGTGCAGAATAGAGCTGCCAGGTTGCTGACGGGGACTGGGCGTTGTTCTCATATAACCCCAGTTCTCCGTCAGCTCCACTGGCTCCTGATTGAAGTCCAGGCCCAATTCAAGGTGTTGGTTATGAGCTATAAAGCCCTCAATGGCTTGGGCCCTGGGTATCTAAAGGAACGCTTGTGTCCATATATGCCCTCCCACCCCTTGAGATCAGCAACAGATGCCCTTCTCCGGGGGCTCTCCGTGAAAGATACTAGGAGGGTGAGTACCCGGAGGAGGGCCTTCTCTGCGGTGGCGCCCCATCTATGGAATGCGCTCCCCAGAGAGGTCCGCCAGGCACCGTCTTCATTTGTTTTTCGGCGCCAGGCTAAGACCTTTTTATTTAAAACTTATTTTAAGTGTTAATTTATTATGGAGGACTTTAAAAAAAATTTAAGCCGAGATGCACCGGGTTTTAATATTTTTAGTGTATAAATTTTTATATGATTTTGTTTGTTTTTGTGGTGAGCCGCCCTGAGGCTTTGTTGCGACGGGGGCGGCATAGAAATGTTTTAAATAAATAAATAAAATAAAGAACCCGAAGCCTCGCAGGCTGTGTGTTCTCTCCTTCAGCAGCACCGGCCTGCCTGCGCACGCCAGCTGCTGAGGAGCATGGGTAGGGGAAGCCTTGCACCCATCCTGCTTGGCGGATCTCGTGGGCAGCAGGTTTGCCACCGCATCTCCGGCCTGCCAGGCTAGATGGAGCTGGGGTCTGATCCAGCAGGGCCTTTCTAAGGCTCTCAGGAGCCTAAGAGAAAATAATTTTCAGGATGCACATTTAACCTACCCGTGGACCTACCTTGCAAGGCACCAGGACCTCTAAAGCATGCAAGTGGCTTAAATTTCTTTTTTAAGAAAAAGACTCCCATGAATACTGCAAAAATATTCAGTGAGGAGCTACTGTGTAAGCTCCCTGATTAGAAACATAGAAACAGAGCGAGTCAGAAGGGGCCTCCCGGGCCATCTAGTCTGACCTCCGGCACCAGCCGGCTCCGCTCATGACATGCCCACCATGTGCATGTCCAGCCTGTCCTTGAACACCCTCACCGATGGGGCCTCAACCACCTCCCGGGGAAGCCCAGTCCACAACCTCGGGGTCCTGACTGTCAGGAAGTGCTTCCTGGAATCCAAATGGAAACTTGGCTCCCTGAGCTTTGCTCCGCTGGATTCATCCCCTATACATTTTCCCGTACTCTTGTTAAAAATGCACACACTGCCAACAACATCGATAGCTGGAACCCAACAACGTCAATAAAATTCTGCTGAGATCTCCGGTGGTCAAACCATTTCAGATCCAGGCGATGTGGCCAGCTCCTTCCCACCACGGCCAGCTCCCCGCAGGCCTTCCTGTTCTCTCTGGTTTAGAAATGTATGAAGGGTGGCCATTAAATACCTTTGACGGGATCAGTCAAGAACGGTTTTTAAATGTCGCACACGTTCCTCTGCACTCTTTCTTGGAGGGAAGGTTTCTGCGAAACCCACAAACCACCACTTCATTTTGTAGGGTTGGCCTCTCCGATGTTTGCCTACCTTGTCGTCCAGCTCCTGCCCATGAAATTCCAGCTGCACAAACTCGTTTGTTGTGGAGACCTCTTCGGCTTCGACCTGTCGGTAAAAATGACCGAGGGAGAGAGACGCATCCCAAAAGAAATACAGATTAGCTCCGAGCTGGCGGAGAGTTGTCTACAAATTGTGCCCCCACCTAGCACTCGAAATGAGGCCTGATTTAATAAATGCATTTATTGATTTTCTTCAGTGCAGTCCTCAGCAACGACTGTGGATGCCCTACAGGAAGCTGGTTTCTCATGGTGTTTATACCCTTCTGGTCTTTGCTTCTGGGGAAAAACTCCACTGGGCTCTTCATCCACTGTGAAGGTTCCTGCTGCCCCAGCAGGGTAGAAAGTTACCCCTGGCAAAGGCAGGTGCCAAAAATGAGGCGTGGAAAACCCCATGTTTAGTGAGTCTTCGGACTAATTATAAAGGACTATAAGTTAAATGAATGAATGAATAAATATTCTGATGGTGGTTAACAGCAGCCCAGGGGGCACTCCAAGACACAAAACCCCTCCGCGCTTCTCTGAGCATCTCTGTTCGGAGGTTTTGGGGTGGCTTTTTGGCGTACTTCTCACAGCAGCCCCAAAAGTAGACCGGTCAGTTTGTGAAGGTGCCACCTTGAGTCAGGTCCTGCAGGTTCAGCCAGGTTCCCGTGATCCTGGCTGCCAGTGGCACTTTGTGCATGCTCAGAAGCAGCCTTGCCCCCTGCAGGTTCCAAGACTGAGTTGGAGACACGCTGGGGCATTCCTGCAGTGTCAGCTGCCAGCCTCTTTCCCTCAAGCTGTCCTTGCTTCCCCCTTGTCCTTCCCAGGCCCACAAAGGGCTCCACCCTCCCCCGGTGCCCCCCACACCGCCTGAGCCAGGGGGATTCTTGTACCGTGATAGTCGACTTCTCCGCGACCTCTCCGTTTCTCAGCACCAGCGGCTTGGTGACCTTGGTCTGGGAGACAATCTGGAGTTGCCCAGAGACAGGAAAGGACAAGATGAATGACCCCCCAGGGAAGCGGGGAGAGAGAGAGAGAGAAAGAGAGAGAATATTTCTCCTTCCTTGCTTCAGAAGAAATCGGGCTGAAGGGTGGACACCTGCCAAAGGCAGGCACCCAGCCCGATATGTGTATGCCCCTTCTTGCCCCCCAGCCCTGTGGAAAAGGTGGGTAAAGTGAGTCGGCAGTAGAGAGAAGGGGGACTCACAAGCTTGGGGGGTCATGTTGAGGGCATCTAGTCCAGCCCCCCCCCCACACACACACACACACACAAAACCTGGAGCTGGTTTGTACATTGATACATATGCCAAGGGCTCAGTTAAGAGTTCCAAGCCTATCACATAATTTGGCTCCTGGACATCATCAGTGTACATTGCCAAAAAAGCAACCAAGTTTCTAGCTCTCATGAGCTTCAATCAGGGTTCAACCCTAATCCGGCTCAGCCACAGAGTTTCCAAGGTGACTTTCGCTGTTCGCCTCAGCAGCCTTACTAGGTTGTTGTGAGACTACAATAGAGGGGAACCGGATACCCCAACCTGGGCCCCTTGGAGAAAGGTGGGCTGGGAAAGACGTGATGTTTCTTGTGGTCTGAAGAAGGATTTTGCCAGGCAGCAAGGCCTTTCGACACAGCAATGCACCCCGTGCCTGCACAAAACCCGCAAGAGTGTTGCTCGGGGCTGGGAGACCCTGTTTCCTGTGCCTGGGCTGCAGGTATGTCTATTTTATGCTTCCTTTTGCACCCGCCTTTCTAAAAGGCACCCTTCTTGGAAGTGATGCCTCAGGGCCATGAGCTGACTGCGGGTGGGGCCTGAATAGGTGGGCGGGGCCTAGCCGAAGGTGGGCGGGCCTAGCCTATAATGGGCGGGGCCACTGCACTTTACTCTGCCTTTCCTTCAGACCCCTCCTTTTTCTCTCCCTCTCCCCAAAACTCCCATTCTGTCGCTGATTATTGTGATTATTTCATTACCTGTTACATTCCACCTTTTCTTCCTCTTGTGAGGAGCCCAAGACAGCTTACACAGCTGCATTTTATCCTCACAAAAACAGCAACCCCATGAGGTAGGTCAGAGGGAGCAAAGGACTGGCCCAAAGTCCATCTCATGAGCTGCATGGCCAAACAGGGACTGGAAACCGGACCTCCTGGGTCCCCCCAGTCCAGCACCCGCACCACCATGTCACGCCGGCCCTCTGATATTTCAATGCCCCCTTCTCTCTCTCTCTTTCGAACACCCCCTTTCTCTCTCTGCCCGGTGGCTACTGGGGAATGGGGAATGCAAACCCTCGCCGGTTTGCTGGCTTCCATGGGGCTTTGGAAGCTGGGCTGGGACCCATGGCTTCAAGTCGTGGCACGAGGGAAGTGCTTTTCCTGGGGGTGGGGGACCAGCCTTACCTGCCCCAAGGTGCATTCAGTGGAGCCAAGTAGGTCTCCAGCATCCTCCTCCGGGCTTTCCGCGCTCTCTCCATCAATGTCGAACACGGCAAATTTCAGGACCTGCATCTCTTCAAAGAAATAGTCCAGGGCAAAGACGTGAGCAAAGACCGGGTTCTGTGACCCACGGAGGACCTCGGAGTGCCCCACCTGGGGAGGAAAGGAGAGGTAGGTGCTGGCAGCGTGGGGAGCTGGCTGGGACATGGGGCAGGCGCTTGACCGCTGCTAAAAGATTGCCACTTTCCACAAGTGTTTCCGCCTCTGACTTTAGCCATTATACCCCATCTCTCCATGTAGAGCAAGACAGACTCTGTGGTCCCTGGAACCCCCATGCTCCTCACAACAGTCTTGCGAGGTTGCACACCTCACCAGCTGCAAGCCATTTTTCCTGTCTAAATGTGCGTCGGATCGCACCTTCATCCATCGTGCTATCAAAATGTCAGCTCAAACATTCATCTGTGGTCTGGTACCTAATCAACTGATCTGAATGTATAAAACACCTTTTGGTGTTTCCTTGGTCTTCCTCTTGCTTTTAAACGAGCTGCTCTTTTAGACTACCATGAACCAAACGAGCAAGAATGCACGGACCCTGAAACCCACGGCCAGGGTTTGAAATGTGGATTTTGCTCTGGCTACAACTTGCACTGCCTTCTCCTGGCAGCCTTATTAGCCATGGGCTGGCATGCAAATATATATATATATATATATATATATATATATATGTGGATTTATATCCTGCCTTTTTCCTACAAAGGGCTCAAGGCAGCTTACATCTCCTCCTCCATCTTATCCCCACAACAACAACCCTGTGAGGTAGGCTGGGCTGAGAGGCTGTGACTGGCCCAAAGTCACCCAGTTGGCTCCATGGCTGAGCGGGGACTAGGACCCAGATCGCCTGAGTCCCAGTCCCAGCTCTGAACCACGACACCACACTGGCTCTAAACAGGTAATATACAGGTAATAAGGAGGGCGGAAGGCACCCCAATCGTAACAGAGACGTTGGTGATGACTTCCTAGAGCGGTCACCTCGTTCCACTGGCCGTCACTGAGCAGCTGAAGGACCAGGCATGGGTTGGGCTTGACAGCACCTTCGCGCTCGGAGAGGTTCCAGCAGGAAACGCGGAGCTCCACCCGGGATGCCCCGAGGGCCACGGGCTGGGTGTCCACCCCTTCCGACATGGTGTGGCCTGCACAGAGATGGTCCTACGCAGAAAGGAGAGAGACCGAGCGTCAGGGAAAGGCGGGACAGGAAGGCGAGATGGGGGAGCGGAGCGAGCAAGCCGGGGCAGGCGGGTGCCACGGGCAGCTGCCGGGGGGGCCACGACCGTGCGGGCCTCTCCGAAGCACTCGCGCGGGCGTGGAAGGAGCCCACGGCAAGCTCCAGGTGTGTCCCCAGGGCCCTGAGGGGAGAGACGGGACTGGCTGGCCATCTGCCGAGGCAGGGGTCCGCGGATCGGGCCTTCCTGGGGCTGCTCTTCCCCCCAGAGTGGGGAGAAGGCGCTGTGGGTGGGCAGAAGGACCGAAAGAAGGAAGGACAGACAGACGGATGGGTGGACGGGAGGAAAGATGGATGGTCGGAAAGAAGGGTGGAGGGAGGGAAGGAGGGACAGATGGAAGGGAGGTAGGCGGACAGACGGACGGAACAAAGACAATGAAACCAGAACCATTAGAGAACGGACAGTGAAAGCTTCAGCTTGGATATAATTCATGAAGATACCTGTGTGCCTGAAAATGGCCCCTCCCCTGTGATCTGGAACTCCACATTTTCCAGCATTCAAGGACCCTGTGATTATGCCATGGGGAGAGAATTGCACTCTGCACCTGCTCAGGGGCTCCTTTCTGGTACTGCTGTGACTGAGCTGTGGCACTGATGTCCGATGGGGTGGCGGCGGCGTCTTTGTGGGTCCCGAGTGAGGAAACGAAACGGCAAGGACAAAGAAGCCACCATTGTTTCCGGGGAACTCGGACAAGGTTTGGGCATCAAGGGCATCGAAGCTGAGGCTGAGCACCAGTCGGTGGAGACGTGTGAAATGCGAAACGACAGGTGTTGAACAACCGAAAGACCTGGCCTGGATCCATAGCCCTCTGCCCGGGACGCCTGGAGTGCTGGCTCTCTCCGTGGCTTTGGAAAGGCCCTCTGTGCATGCTCAGAGGGCAACGCCCGCAGCCCAGGAATGAAGGACGCGGCTTCCGGACATGCAGGGAGTCCACGCGCTCGCTCTCCCCCCAGCCCCGCCTGCGCCTCCAGCCTCTTCCCCACTCCGGAGGCAGAAAGAAAGCGGAGTGCGGAGCAAGAGGCGCGGCGACACGGACGCATCCGAAGTGGCGCGGGCGCTTCGGCACAAGCGGTGCTGAGTCAGCCTCCCTCCCCCGCTCGGGCGTTGGGTTTATTGGCTTTCTGGCACCCGCGTCAAATCCGGGCAGCGGGAAAGGCCAAGGGAAGGAGGCCTGGTGGGGGGGGGGGGCTCGTGGGGGTGGAAGGGGGCGCCGAGGAGATGCTGTGGGCGCAGCTTTGAAGGGCACGCCTGCCCCCTCCGGCGCAGGCTGGCCGGGGGGTCACCTGTGACGGCAGGATGGAGCTGCCATGTGCGGGAGCACTGTACCTTGGGGTGGCCGGGTGGCCTACTTTATCGCAGGCACTCCTCCTGGTTTTGAAGATGTCCCTGTAGGAAAGGCTGAGCGATTGAAGGAGGCAGAACAAGGAAGGGCTTAGACAAGTCACAGCAATTCAGTAGGAACCTGCCAATCCGAGGCAAATTCGTGTCCTCTGTTTCTGACGTTATGGAAAGTTACCAGACGGTGGGGTGGGAGTCGCGGGTGGGGGAGCCAACGAGGGCGGCCACCTCCTCGGGGACTCCTGGAAGGCTCTCCCCGCCCTCGCACGGAAACAGGATCCTGGGCTAAGTGGACTTTGGGTCTGATCCAGCACAGCTCTTTGCAAGAATAGTTCTGCTTCATTTGCATCTATACAGATGGCCTCAGCAAAATAATAAGCGTAATAGAAATTATGTGCACACTGAGCATCTCTTCGGAGAAGTGCGGGCGGGGAGCCGCGTCTGTGTGCTCCGGCTCAAAATGCAAACACCACAACAACTGCGCGGTTCGGTTTGGGACACGCGAAATCTTCTACGCTTCCCCGAGCCTCGTGCAAGGGGATGCTCGTTGGGGGAGGGGGCATGGATGGGAGGGGCAGCCCCTTTCCTCCCCCTGGACCATATTTTCTGGCAGCCCCTTTCCTCCCCCTGGACCATATTTTCTGCATCATCTCCCATTGGCCTGTGGATGATGGGTGCTGTCACCTGACAGACTGCAGGGCACCAAGTTGGAGAAGGCCCTCCCCACCACATGCCTTCAGGGTGGTACAGGCCTGACAGGGGAGGGCTGTACCACAGGACCATGCCCATTAGACCTGGTGGAGGGGGAGGCAGGTGCACCCCCTTGCTTCCCTCCTGGCATGCCAAGTAAAGATTTCAGGTAAGCCGAAACTCGCTCGGTCTGCTGCTCTGGCAGGCTCCGTGTGGACCTTCCCTGCTCCTCGGAGGCTTCTGCGTGGCACACAAGTCTCGCAAGGGCCAGCGCAACAGATGGAATCGCTCCTGCAGCCACGGAACAAAATACAGCTGGGAAGAGCGTGCAGGGCACACTTCACTCTTCAAGGATGATCTGACCACCCGTGAGGTTATGAACCTACACACACACACACAACACACGCACACGCATGTGTGCAGAGGAGCGCCGTTGTGATTCTGTATGAGTCACTGTTCTCAGAGGGGAAGAGACCTGCTCCCCCCTCTCCGCTCTCTGCCTGATCCAAGCTCACCCTGCCCTCCTGTTGAAAGACAGGGCCCAGAGGGAGGCCGAAACAGAACAGTGACTCAGGCACAGAGTCCAAAGCAGCTTCCTCCTAGCTGACAGCCTTCTGGTACACATTCACACAAGAGCGGAGCACGGGTGCCAAACCTCTTCCGCCCAGGAGCTGATTCCATCGCGGAGAGGCACTTGGGCAGGGCTGGCGGCAGAGGGGGCAGGGCCTAAAATGCCGGCATATTTGTGGCATAAAACCACAGACCTGCCAAAGCTGGAAAACCACCACAGTGTGAGCTGTCGGAGGGCCGTCAGGTCAGGTCAGGCCAGGCGTGGCGCCCCTAGCAGTGGAGGGGCACAGCCTCCAAACTCGGAGAGGTCTTTTAGCTAAGTTGGCTAAATGGGAAGGATGGATCGATGCCCCTGCATTGGGGAATCCAGCCGGTGTGCTTCAGATGTGCTGGACTTTAATTCCCATCATTCCAGCCCCACTGGCTGGGAATGATAGATGCTGCAGGCCAACAGACTTGGGGGACCCCAATCTGAGGAAAGCGTGTCTATGGAAACCGAGCGGAGGCCGTGCCCAGCTCGATAACCTACACTGTTCGATCCCACCAGCTGATTTGGCATCGCACAATTTTTGCCAGCGTCTCCCTATCAAAGAGCTCTGTGGGATCCCAAAGCCTGCACAGCTCCAGGCAAACTCAGGGCTAAGCGGCATCACAAAGCTGTCACACATGCAGCCACAAGCGGAGACACAAAGCCTAAATCAATCCAATGCGGTACAGTTTCCTGACTTTCTTTCGCCTGCCGGGAAGCCTTGGATTCCTGAAAGGAAGGAAAGGGGAGACAGAACATCACAGCCTGGGGCGATCTACCCAATGAAAAACCAGCATCCGAGGAATGCCAAGATCACACAGCAGGGTGTGCAAGCTATGCAACCAGTACAGCAAATGCTCGACACCCACCAGCGCAACCGGGGGCGTAAGTGGTGGGTTACCCACAAGGCACTGACCTGCCCAGAGAAGGGCTGGCATCTAAAGCTGGGCTCCCGGCACCCCCCACGCCAGCCCTCCCAAGCCCCAGTCCTTCCAGAAGGGCTGGGCCACACCTCACCCACCCCCAGCCAGGTGGAGACGATGGGAGTTATAGTCCAACATTTCTCTTCTCGGAGTTGGGGAAAGTTGCCCGAGGCAGGAATTAAACATTGGACTGCATGCTTGGGTGTGGCACAACCGGAAGATGAACTGCGGGGATGCAGAAATGTGGGGGGAAATGATGCACCTACACATCCTAGTAAACATTTATTCAAACCAGCACATGCCTATAAGAGGGCCCCAGAGCTTGAGGCATTGCTCTGGGCTCAGCAGGCCCCCCGGGGCAGTTTCTGGCCCAGCCTTCATTTCTCTCCTCTCTGCACCTCTCCAGATTGTAGTGAGCAAGATTTTAAAAGGGTTGAGAAACACCGATGGAGAGGAGGTTGAAATTGATGGCCGTCGGGGCAGCAAAGGGCACGGAGGCTGGGTGGGAAACATTTGCACGCAGGGATGTAATACAATTATTATTATTATTATTATTATTATTATTATTATTATTATTATTAGAACATTTCTATGCTGCCCCTTGCCGAAGCCTCGGGGCGGCTTACAACACAATAAAATACAATACAATACAAAAATAGCAATATAAAATTAAGATTAATAATATAAAATAAATAAAAAATATAAACGATATAAAAGAAGTTATAAAAGAAAAGTTATAAAAGAAAAAAAAAGAAAACAATCCATGGAGGGAACCCCCCAAGACCACAAAGTTATGACGATCTCAAATGTGCATCACGGAAAGACACAATAATTGACACAGGGCAGTAGACCGTATGCCCCTCCGAGCTGCACAAAGTTTTCACAATGCCAAAGCACAGCATGTGCCCAGGGAACCCACGGAGCTGGGGATGCACTTCGTACAGTGTGAAAAAGTAAGCGTCATTTTGCCGGATCGTGCCCACGGTCCATTAGCCTGCCAGAGGCTGCTGGGGGGGGGGGTCCCGAGCAAGCCAGAAAGAGGCAGTGGTCATCAGTGGTGATCATCTGGTATTCCGAAGCTAACTGTCACTTCCTAAAGACCAAAACATCCACCGCAAACCCTTTTTTAAAGAAAAAAGGCCATCCCAAGTTTCTTTTATATTATCTTACATTTATAGATGCTTTTTTTAATCTTGCAAGAAACTCAAGGTGACTTACACAGCCGTCCTCCGCTTTATCCACACAACAACCCTGGGGGGCAGGTCAGGCTGGGAGTCCATGACCGGCCCAGAGTCATCAATGAGCTGCACGGCCAAGATCTCCTGACTCCCAGGCCTGCGCTCTCACCACTAT